TGAAAGGCAAGGGTCCCAGAGGAGACAACACAAAGAAAGAAGAGCTTCCTTGGCTTTGTGGTCATCTGAAAGGCATTTCCCGCCAATATCCAAACAGCTGTGCTCCTAAGTGCAGGTTTTCTAGAATGAGACGCTTTCCAGCCCTCCCTGAGAACGCTTTATTTTACCCGGGCCTGCCGCTGCCGTGTGTCTCGATGGGACATTTCTGGCCCCAAGAACCTATGGAGCATTTGAGCCCAGGACACCAAGTCTCCGAGAGGTGGGGAGCTAGCTGTAGCTGTAGTCAAAACGAGTCTTAACTGAGGCTGGTAGACAGAGAGCAGGGTGGGAGCGCCCATCTGGCCAGACGAAGGAGACATGTTCACATCTCACAGGGAGCCACCTGGCGAGGGACCATCACAGGGTCAGCCGTCATCGCGCGGCTACACAGATCACTGGGGAAACCAGACAGTGAAAAGGTCAGGAGAAGAAGGCAGATTCTTTTCACGTAAGGGGCTTCCACATCCAGGCAAACAACGCTAAGACGAGGTCGGCTTTGGAAAAGCAGAGGGGCACCAAAAGTGAGAGGAACTCTCTAGGAGATGGATGGATGGACAGGACAGACAGCCCCGGCCACGTCACACACCAACCGTTGTGAAGACGGCCCAAGGCCAGGTGACGCTTTGGTTTCACCCGAGTAAGCCGTCATGAGCCAGTAGGGACTTGATGGCGATAGCAGCAGCCAGGGCCATCCGCGGCCTAAAAGGGACCTGGGGGTGGGAGTAGGGGTGGTGGGGGTGGTAGGAATGACAAGGCAGATGTGGTGACCAAGAACCTTGGAGGGGCTGAACCTGGGAGCGCAGGGGGAAATGCACAGCCAGATCGGTCACTAAGGAGTCGGGGTGGCGCTGTTGAATTCAGGGATGTCCCACAAACCCCAGGTTGGTCATTCAGACCCACCAGCCATTCTGCAAAGGACCGATGCCTGCTCCCATGATGCCGTGCAGCTGCGGAATCTCTAGAGGGGTCGCTATGAGCCAGGGTCAGCTGGGTGGCAGTGCGTGAGGGCAGTCCCCAGCGCATCCAGAGGGGAAAGGGAATCTCCACTCAGGGTGTGGAACTGCACATTCTCTTCCATGCAGAAACGGAGGGAGAATCGAGAGTCTGATTTCTAACAAGTCTCTTCAGCAAGAGGCGATTAGGCATGTGGGACATAGGCAGCATCCCCAGTTTGCGGTGCCTACGGGGTGTTTCCACCCAAGTGGACATCACAGGGTGGGGAGCAAAGTGAAGCCGTGGGTGACTTGTTAGATAAGGTGGTAAGAAAGGCTGGTTTCTTGGCACGGCCCAGCTTCCACCTCTGTGGCCAGGCGAGGCCCTATTTACTCATGGGCTGGTTTGCCCCACACCGAGCCTTAGGCACTGGGACCACACCATCACTGGGGACTCCGTTCATGTGTCACCAGAGCCACTGGGTGGAGTCTCCCTGCAGGTCACGGTGCTCAGGAGGAAGAGCCTCTTCCCTCAGTGGGGGGACCAAGGGGGTTATGCTCAACCTCAGTCCTCTTCACATCCAAGGCCAAACGTGATAAGGGAGCATGAGCGAGTCTCCTGCCCTTCTCTCCCCGGGAGCTTCGTTGTGTATGTTTCAGGGAAACGCTGCCGTGGAAGACAGACAAAACATGCCAACGTTTCTCTCACCTCCACAGAACCTAGAATAGGCCAGGCCCGTCCGAGGGGCGCAGCAGCTCCTTTTGAGAATGTGGCGTGCGTAAAGGAGATGATTGTGCTGGAAGATGGGAAACTGTCTGATAGGTATATTTATTTCGGATTGACGAAGTTCAGGAATCAACAACATTGTATGAAGGGAAATTTTCTTTTTTTTTACTACCGGAAAGCATCAGGTCTATGGGGGAAATTGACTCGCTGACCCAGGAAGAACAGAATCTAGTTTTCCTGGGTCGTTTGACCCAGTGGCTCCTCAACTCCCTGTGCTCCTCAGGATGCCTATTCAGACCCAGCACCATCGTCCCTTCCCTAAAGAAAAGGCTCTCAAGGGAGGGAGAGAGATGTCAGAGTAAGAAACTGAACAGAGAGGGGCAGACCGGGAGGAAGGAAGGCCACTGGGGTTCTGGATGGATGCAGCCAAAACAGATTTCTTGCTGAATGATTTCCTAGCACATTTGATAGGCAAATATAATGGGGAACACCCCCAAAGGTGATCCTGTTGGATTCAGAATTGTTTTCTATTGTTTGTTTGTGTCAAGGAGCACCTTTCAGATCAGTATGTCACAGCCCACTGTAGAGAGTGGCAACATCAAGTCCTTGATAAGGTTTGACTTGCACAATGGGACCTAGGCACCCTGCCACTGCCCTTAAGGTGATCCTCAAGGCCAAGGCCAAGACCATGCAATGTGCTCCTGTGTTCCTTCCATGGTGGCTCTGCCTGGGATTTGATGCTATCTAGTGTGACAAAGACCTCTTCACAGGTGTCTGCCCCTTACCTGGGCTTATTGTCCTTTGACTGCTAAAGATGAATTTGAGAGGAATCAGCAGGCACATTAAAAACGTGAGCAAGCTCTCACCCCAGCTACCCAAAGCCACCCGCGCCAACATTTTGACAAAGACGCTGATAGGGCACCAAGTTTCATCATGATCTAACCATCCGACTCAGGCAATTGATGCGATTCAACACATACGACGTTACCACGTTGGGGCAAAAATGAATCAAAGCTTTAATTCACCTCCAGCACTCTGGATAAGCATTTACCAGTTTGTCCGTTGACAGTTCCTACCGTTTCTGATTTTTTAAAATGTTCATGGCTATTGCTTTGGTTATCTCGGGCTGCTCTACCAGAAATGCCAAAGATGGATGACTGACAAACAACATTCAGGGCTCCAGCTCTAGGGGAATGAGCCTTGGTGGCATAGCGGTTATTCGTTGCGCTGTGAACTCTAAGGCCAGCAGTTCAAAACCACCAGCTGCTCCAAGGAAGAAAGATGAGGCTTTCTGCTCCTGTAAAGAGTTAACATCTCGGAAACCCCTAAGGGCAGTTCTACCCTATCCAAGAGGGTCCCGAGGTCCTGTTGTGTCAGCATCGACTTCGTGGCAGGAAGGGTGTGAGTGAGCTCTGGGGGAAGGCTCTTTCCTCTTTATAAGCTCTAGGTCCTGGGTCTAGCTCTAGTCCTTGTCGCCTTTTATTATCCGTGCGTCCAGCGTTCATTAGAATTCTACTTGTGTCTTGGCATCCATCTTCCCTTAGGTCTAGAAGCTTCTCAGCACAGGTCTTTAAGGTTCTGCAGATACGTTCTGCTCTCAGCAATATTTTCCTGGATCAAAGTCAGATCCCTCCAATCTCTGCTCCATTGTTTAATCCCTTTGCTAGCTCAGAAGTTGACTCAAGCGACAGCCTCATCCTGCAGATGTAATTTCCACGAATCCTGCTACCGTAACATCACAGGGGTTAGAATTTACAACACCAAGTGCAATTCCATCACGTCACCAAATGGAGGGTAATTACATGATACGGAGACTCCCGGCCTAGCCAAGTGGACACATAGTTGTTTGTTTGTTTGTTTGGAGGGGGAGGGAGAGACACAAATCGATCCATAACAGATATTCTTAAACTGTTTTCATGTATTTTCCAAAATGTATCCAGGAGCAAATAAAAAAGATTTCTTTAAAAAAAAAACCTCCAGGCATAAAGCAGGAGCATCCCAGCTAGGAGATGGAGTGACATGATGGAGGCAGTGGTCCTTGGGCTGAGCCGTGGCAAAGCAGGTCAGCACCTAGGGAAAGACAGAGGGATGGGCCTGCGGAGTCCAAGGGCAGCACGGGCAAAGGCACAGAGCATGACACACCTTGACTAGTACCAGAACGACGGAAACTCTGGTGTCATCAGTACATGGCTATAGACAGCATAAGGTGACAGGCATCACTGGGAAGGCTTCGAGACCTAATGATACAGGACCCTGGATGCTTGAATTCTATCTTGCAGGCTGCCCGTGCAAGTGTTTAAGCTGGAAACCTTTACATGTGCGCGTTAGAAAGACCACTCTAGGGAAAGTGGAGAAAAGGCACAAGAATCTATAGGACAGGAGACCAGAGAGATGGATTACACGAGTGCAGTGAAGGTCCAGGTGAGAGAAATCCTGGGAATGCTCAGAGGTGAAATGCATTTTAGAGAAGAAAAAACACAATTTTGTAATTTGGGAACTAACTGAAGATTTGGGCGGGGGGTTGTAATGAAAGCACTAAACACAGCCCCCACATTTCTCACAAAAGCATAGGACTATTGTTGAGAACATTTTGGATGGCAGAAAAGACCTAGATTTGGTGGGAAAAGGCAACAGAGTCCTTGAGTGGTTCTCAACTGTGACCCCAAAGCCTGGATGTGCAGCTCCACTCAGTGCATCTCGGACGAGAGGCATGGCGCTCTTCTTGGGCGAAATCAGCCCGTTGGAAACCCTGTGGAACACAGCTGCCTCTGACACACACAGGCACCGGGTCCTCCCGTGAGCAAGAAGAGACCTCTCACGGTAACAGTGGTTTTGTTTGTTTGTTTGTTTTAGGTAATCGATCGTGTTGAGCAAACCCTTCATCTAAGAAGGAGGAACACTTCCCACATTTTTACCAGAGCTGCTCTCCCGCAGGCCCAGTGAGCCCAGGGCTGCTCATCAAGGTCTTGTTTGATTTTAGGGATTATTCTCTGTCAGAATCTGTGTAGAAATCACACCCACAGCTGCCTGCCACTGGACCAGAAGTTATCATCAACCGCATTGCCCTACCTTCACCTTCCACCCACGGTGAGTCAGAGTGAGCCCATGTCAAAGTGCCTTGCCAACCGAGTCGATATTCCAAAAGGCTTCCTGGTCATGTGTCATGGCGAGATAGGGAACGGGAGGATAAATCTGTGACCCCACCTTGACACACCCCACTGGAATCAAGCAGGCCAAGTACAAATACGAGAGGTTCCCCCAGCCTGCACCCAGGCCTTCTTTCTCCTCTGCTCCCTTGCTGGGCTGAAGACAAGATGCAGTTCACAGTAAGTAGATGATTCTTTATACACTTGTCACCGTCCAGTTGAAGACTGCTATTCTGTGATGGGAAATCTGCTTCGTGTCGCAATGCATCATTTTAAGGTAGAAAGCCGTAAGCCACCACCTCTGTCTTCTTGTGGTGGAACTGTGGCCTCTGTGAGCATCTCTGTAGAGAGGGGCGACTACAGAGTCTGAGCACCTTAGGCCAGGCTGCCACTGAGACCGATTGCTTTCCAGGTCAACTGACTCAGGTCTCAGCATAGAGAGTGCAGTCCCAAAGCCCTAGAAAGTGCCTGATCTCTTCCCTCCTTCTGGAATTATTCCTTGCACCCCAAACTCCTACACTTGTTAGGCCAGATAGAAAGCTTCCTATCAAGACACGATCTCCTGGCAAGAAAGGTTTACCTTGGCCCCTGTGCCTGGCCACTCGTTGGACCCTGTACATGGAAACAAGTGCTGCATGAAGCTCCATGCAGCATTTCCCTGGGTTCCCAGGTGGAAGGCTGTGAGCATCACAGGTGAGCCACAGACTTCTGTCCGCGCTACCAAGAGCATCACCTGTCTTTCGTAACAGGGTGCAAAGAGGGACTAGAATCAGCCGAGGAGCGTATTTCGTGTTTCAATCGACTAAACACTAGAAGACATTGCAGCTGACTCTCCTCCGTGATAGAGCTGCAAGTGTAAATAAATCATCGACCAATTAGCCCTCCGCGGGGTTCCTGGGTGGCACAGATGATTGGTGGTCAGCCACTCACCAGTGAGTGGTCGGGATCCACCCAGCAGTACCACAGAAGAAAGGCCTGGCGGCCTGACTCCATCGAGATCACAGTCCAGAAAATGCTACTGTGCGCCCCCGGGCTCCCCAGGAGCTGAAATACACTCAACAGCCGCAGGTTTTATAGTTGTTGTTTTTAATAGGGGTCCTATTTTTTTTTTAAAGAAAAAGATGCCCCTGGTACAGGTCCCCTGGTCCTGACACAAACTAGAGGTACGGCCTTGCCAGAGCCACTTAACTTTTGAAGCTCCATTTTCCTGTCTGTAAACGTTGTCCTTTTGCACAGCTGTTGCACCCTGTGGTTTCCGAGGCTCTAAATCTTCCCAGGAACAGAAAGCTTCATCTTTCTCCTGAGGAGTGACTTGTAGCTTTGAACTGCTGACCTTGGGGTTAGCAGCCCAGTGTGTAACTCCCTAAGCCACCAGGGCTCCTTGGGATTGTGCTAGCAGATCTCACAGGTTTCTTTGACCTATGACTTCTTTGGAGACTGTCATTTTCACCTCTGTCTTAAGCTATCATGGGGTGGGGATGGGGAGATTAAACATACTGTTTAATTACCTTGCACAGCCAGTGCCAGATTCCAAATGATCTTGTGCCAGGCCAGATCAGGTATGCAGAATGGGCACCCTGCATAAAGCTCTGGAAGCCAGGGTCAGAACCCGGAACAAATGACTGGGCCAAGTACCGCAGGACACAGTACAGTCGTGGCTTCCCTTCTGCTAACCTTGTCTGATAGCCAGACACCACATCCTGGCCTCTGATCCCCAGCCAGCCTGCCGACCAGCACTCAACGAGGTTGGCAAAGGAAGGAAAGTGGTCCAGAATAGGTCAATAAACAATTAATTTTGAGAAGTTATTTTTTAAACGCAGCTATTGCTTATAGCACGGACACTGTTCATTTTCAAATTTATTCTTCACTGCATGGATGTTTCATCCGTTTAGCCTAAGACTTACTGAGTAAGAAAAAAAATTGGCAAACTATACTCAGATCCCTCCACTGTCCATCGAGCCGATTCTGACTCATGGCAACTCCACATGTGTTAGAGTAGAATTGTACTGCGGAGACTTACCAAGGGCTGACTTGAAGTGGATCACCAGGTCTTTCTTCTGAGGCACCTTTGGTGCCAAGCCCATTAACCATTTGCCCCATTGGCCCAAAAGGATATGGTACCTTAGTTTAAGTATTTAGAACTCATTTCTAATGCTACATGATCATTAAAACTGTCTGTAGTTTAAACACACACACACACATAAAAGACCCACCACTCAACCGAGTCGGACCATTAGTGAATGACTTCCATGGGCATGGCGAGGGGCAGAGGGGAGGAGACCACAGGGCCACCTAACAGCAAGGCACCCATGCTTGTGTTCACAGATCTTCTTTGCTGGACTTTGTGGACTTTTCCTGGCTCCTGCCCTTGCTGATTATGTAAGTCTCCCCTTCTTAAGATGGGTTACCCGCTGGCCTTTGGGAAAGAAAAGTGGTGTTGACTCATCCTTTGTGTCGTCCCAACCCCCAGAATATCAACATCAGCAATGACAACAACAGAGCCGGCAGTGGGCAGCAGTCCGTGAGCGTCAACAACGAGCACAATGTGGCCAACGTGGACAATAACAATGGCTGGGACTCCTGGAATTCCGTCTGGGATTATAACTCTGTCAGTAGTCAATCAATATATGTCTGGTCTTTAAAAATAGTGTGGGTTTGTTTTAGCAAAAAAACCCAAAACGTTTGCATTCTAACCATGCAACAATACACATAAGATACGTTCTAGTTACATATAAGTATGTAGTTATAAGTAAAATGGTCCCCTTTGCTCGCCCGTTTCATTCCTTAGATTTTCCTTAGATGTAGCTGCTGTGAATGCCTTTCCCACAGTTAGTGATGCTTCAGATCAATGAATGGTTACCAGGACCATGGTGGTCAAGGAGTTGGAGGGAGACAGGACAACTGTATCAGAGGATAAAACCCAGGGCCAGTCTTCCACAAGATGACTGCAGCCAATGCACAACCCGTTATTCTGCATGGAATTTTCTTCTGCCAAGACAGAAGTTGATATTTCACTTGTCACTCAAAATGTCCCCAGGACATGCAAATGACAATATTAATTGGTGAGGCAGCAGAAGTGGCAGGGAAAAAAACCCAACCATTTGGCTCGAAGGAGGAGTCACTTAACAAACTGTACTCTTAAAAGAGTCAAATTTTTATCCCTGCAGTTTTAGCATCTGATCAACGAAATCCTATCTTCTGTCTTACCTTCCTGCTTGAGGTTTTGCGAGGATCAAAACAGATTCATGATATGATAGCATTTTGTAAGATCCATTTCAGCCTAGCGGCATGTGTTGAATGACTCGAACTTGGATGATAAGGCAGCACATCAACACTGGGTCTCTTTCCTCAATGATTTTGCTCTCCATCCTGACAAAATAGATCTAATTACAAAACTTGACCAGGTCCAGTGCCCATCACTCTGCTGGTGGAACTGATTTCTGATCAGGACAGACAGTTGGCGAGTACAGGAATACACCTCACCTTCCACCCTCGTCTTCAACAGGGCTTCGCAGCAACCCGACTCTTTGCCAAGAAGGTGTGCATTGTGCATAGAATGAACAAGGATGTTGTGCCTCCCATCCATGCCCTTGATGCCTTGGTCAAGGAAAATAAGGTAACAAGAAATCCTTTTTTCTTTTGGGTGAGGGGGAATCTCATGAAATTAAAGAGGTATATCATAAAAAGGTGGCAATCACACCTGCCTGGTCATCGTGGGATGTTGCGTTGCGAGCCACCCAAATTGATTACCGAGAGGCCAATGAGAAGCAATTGCATGAGGGAGGTAGCTTTCATCACACCCAAATGCTGTCGCTCACCTCTGCTTCCACACTGGCTGAGCAAGACACTCAATGACCTTGATGCCCTTGACCAGGAGCCACCCCAAGCTCTGGCCAGGCCTATTTCCCCACAGGGATGTGGACTGGGTTGCACCGTGATTAGCATAGGGCATTGCAGGATGCAATGAATCAACTGCTTAGTATATGCAGGTGCCCTGCGATCTTTGGACCATACTTAAAACTAAGGAAAACATTTGGTTTTTAGTCAAAATTCAGATTTAACCGAGCATCCTCTACTTTATATGGGAACCCTAGTCAGGGTGGAAGGGGAAGGGCAATTCATGTGACTTTAACATATTTGAGTGAATCCATTTTATGGCAACTGGTATATGGGTGTCTTTCACTGACAAGTTGGCAAGAAGAAAAACAAAAACGCTGTTCTCCGAAGCTGATGAGCACATAGCCTAACCCAGGATCTAAGGAGAGCCAAGCTTCAAAATAACTTTAATCTACGCATCTACTGTTACAAGA